TTTTATGGTTTCATCGTTTCACTGTGAATGGACATGAGTAGACTACAACCTTTACCTCAGCATGTAATATGGGTGTGTCTGTGTGGGTGTTTGTTTGATAGCTAAGGATCTAACTTAATACTAGTCAGTAATATATCCCAGGACTTTGTATGCCTCAACCTCTGGTGTTAAAATCTGAAGCAAATATGAAAGAAGAACTGCAGTTCCTTAAGTGTCCACCATAAACTGGCTGCAATAGTCAAAGAATAGTCATTAGGTCCCATTCTACAATGCTAGTTTTCACAGCGAAATAAAAATGCTTACCTGGGAATCCCACTGGATCCGGAACGGCTCCGCCATCAGAGTGCCTTTCAAACATGCCAAATATACATGCAAAACAGCGACTGCAATGGATTTGATAAATCACATTTTGTTTGCCCTAATAATCCCATTTGCATCTGCTCCCCCCAGTATTTTGCGTGTTCTGATGATCTACATACATTCTGCATATTCATGCAGGCAAATACGCTAAATCGATTGCGCGCACTAGTTTTGCTTATTTGACAGATGTAATCCTCGGTGCACTCGGTTAGTAGATCAGCTTTGCATGTGCTATCAAGTTTGCACATGTTTTTGTACTTGCAAACCTTTCTTTGATCAGGCCCTAAGTGTGGTCCCCTCTAACTTTGCCAAAGTTTCAGTGTCCAACTGTTGCCAAAAATGAACCCCAATAGCAGAAAATTTGACAAAACACTAGAATAGGATAGTAAGGTCAGAAAAAGGCTTGTTAAGTATCAGGAATGTCCATAAAAAAAACATACCTTCTCTTGTCTGTCCATGCACAAACAATCTGCCGTCTCTAACCACAAAGTTTGACAACAAATAACTCTATCCTTTCAACTTTACCTCCAATATTTTTATATGAAATTACTTTCAAACGCTCTCTTGCCTTCAATTAAACCGCCGGGGCCTTTGATTTAAGTTGCAAGGTGAGAAAACTTCTGTATCAATCAATTTGCTGCACTCTTTTCATTTATAAAAACATCTAAAATATACTTTGGCACCTGATGGTGGGGGAGCAAGGCTAAATCAAAGTGTGTTAATAATTAACTCTAATTAGCAGTGTGTGGGAGAGGTGTGATGCCTGTTTCGATGGCAGCGCTGCACTCCTTCCTGAACCTGTGCCTGTTCTCCAGATGATCCGTAAGAGAGATGACAGGCTGCAGAGAGAGAAAGACGAACATTTCACAGAGGAGAGGCGGCGGGTCAAAGAGACAGGGATGACTTTTTTTGTATCTTCTTTTTATTCATTATGTTCAGTTGAAGAAACTCTGTGAGAGGGAAACAAAGCAAGAGCAAAGACAGAGACGAAAGTATAGCCATTTGTTATGACTTCAAGTTAATTAAGGAGCATGTTGTTAGATGACGGGGGCACCTGCGTACGAAGGTTTTAACTGAGCGAGAGCATTACGGGGGCAACTGCAGAAAAAAGGACCTGAAAGGAGCCTTAATTAATGTCTCAGCAGGGTGGAGGGAACATTAAGACCGAGCTAAAACCCTTACAGGCCCAGATCCAAACTGGAGCTCTACTTGCTGGGAGAGCATTTCATTTCAGGGTATTGCATCATCACGGATTATCCTACGAGCACAAGTGTCACTAAGCCAATAAACATCTTTGGGAGCTGGAGGGGTAAATTAGTCTCTTTCCTCACACCCAAAGTGTAGAAAGTAATAAAACAGAATTCACCCAATTCTGTTAAAAAGCCAGGATATGCCTTCACTGAATGGTTTAATTAGAGCTGTGTGTTTGTACAAAGCAGCAGTTCCTCCATTTCCATAGATACATTTCACTAACAAAGACTATTCATCTTATATTTAGAGGGAAAAATCTGATTACTGCTCACACTTTGACCCTCTTTGCCATGATGAATTGGGTAAGTCACATATGCGGATTTTGATTTATCTTCCTGACCTTTTGTATGCAAAGGAGACACGTTCTGTACAACCATAATGTGACACGTCAGAAAAAGAGGTCAGGCCTGTGAGAAAACAAGCCTCCCTCCTTCGCCTCCTTCATGATGAGTCTATTGTTTTGCCTCACAGTGGCTGCTTTTGTAATGCTGAGTACTGAAAGTTTGGCTCAACACCAGTGTAAGATTCATGTCTCAATTAAAAGAAGCCTCAAATCTGAGATGTTCTATATCACATTTAAAACAAACAAACAAACAAAAGTTGATAGCCTTGTCTATGAAGGCTACATTAAAAAGGAGAGATTCCCACATTTTTCAGTGATTATCTTATGAGCATTAAGCCATTGTAAAACATGTAACACTAGAATAAAGTCATAGTAAAGTCAGTGTTATCGAGAAAAGGTGATGTAAACTACAAAACTGAAGTCATGATGTAGCCAAATGATAAGCCTTACTATTTTGAAGGAGGATGCAGCAAATCTCATCTTTTTGCACAATCTTTTCAGATTCCTGATATACAGAACAGAAAAACGCACATTAAGTGCAATTCAACGCAACCCTTCACATTCCTCATTTTGGTACAAGCAACCAGCAGCTCGCAAAACAACATTATTGAGTCATCTAAATGTTTCAGCTTATATGAGCACAAAATTTTAGACAGCCAGACATGGAGGAGACCAGGTAAAGCTTCTGCTCTCCTCAGAATAGTCACTGAAATGTGTAGAATAATAAAGTTATAAATATAGTTACAGCATTTTGTGACATTTCTGCTTTATTCCAAATAAAAAGAATCATAGAAAATCTTTGAGTGTGTTTTATTGTGTAGACTAAAGATAGAAACATTTTTCTGTCAGCATCACCTCCAGTTCATTTTCTGTCATTTTTTTATTATTATTTTTTATTTTGGAGGGTTTTCTTATAGCAAATGCCAAGAGCTATTTCAGGGTTACCATTGACTTCACACATTAATAAGGTCAACTCGCCTCTATCTCTTTCTATTTTCAGACTCAAGCCAAATTACCGCCTTAATGGCGCTGACATGTTGCACCAGAGGAGAAATAAAGTAGCCACAGGAGTGACATCATAACTCTTCTGCAAACCTCAACACAAATTTATCTTATCCATAAAACATCAATAGATTTTTAAAAAAACATTTTTTTTAGGAATTTTCAGTTTGACAATGATCTTCTTCATCTTTTGGATACATGCCAAGGTAATATTGTCTGACGACGAAAAAAGAAAAATCTGATCCCTCTCTTGTTTAAAAGTCTAATGTACCACTCAGTCTGCTGTTCAAAAATCTGTCTTCATCCTTTTGTCAATTCTCCAGTCTAACACCTACCCCTTAACAGCAGTAACAGGTGTTATAATTGTATTATGAAAACTCTCAGACAGACAAAAACAAAGATGGCTGCCTTTATTTTGCATAGTGGCTCACAACAGAAAATACATAATTTCAGTAAAGATAATCCCAAATACTAACACTCTTATACTTTCATTATCAACTTTATTTTTAGGGTCCTGAATCAGAAGACAAAGTTAATTAAGCTTTCGGTTGTTGTGGAAACACATGAAGTTATCGACTGAAAAACTGCAGCTTTCATTAAGTGAGTGGATTTTACAGGCAGACTACATTATAGCACTCTGCTTATTTTTAGAGCTGATGTTGTAAACATTACAGTAGCAAGTAAACAACAGTGTACACCCCATCAGTAATAACTACATCCTGAATATAAGACAATCCCACAACTTTTTATTTGTATTCTCAGGAAAAACAAAAACAACATATAGTATAACATATTAATATTTGAAAGTTATGCTGAGAAGCTCTGAGTGAGAAAGTGGAGGTCAAATATTAGAAAACTGCCCTCATCTAAACATTCACTTCCAAAAAATAACTTTTTTCCTCCCTTAAAGTAAAAAAAAAAAAAAAAATCAATGTCATAAGTAGTTATGTTTTTTTCAAATAAAAAACATGAATTCAGATTTCATGTCACTCATATTTATGAAGCCAGCTGTACAGCCCTGTTTCTTTTCATTCTTTATTCTTATTTATTTATTTATTTTTTTACTGAAACATAATGTGTAATATGATCTTGAAAGATGTCAGAGATGAAATAGGATTCCTATTACCCCTGGATTACAGAGCAATCTTAAATTTGAATGTTTCAGCAATTCATGCATCCAATAATACACAGGCCTGCATTATGCTTTATCATAAATCCCAAATCAGGTGTGGCCTAAGCCTCGGAGATGCGAGTACAGATGTATAATTGTGTGTGTATGCGAGGGGGTAGCAGCAAGCACTTTAAATATTAATACCTTCTTTTCTTGCCATACTTCAAAAAGGCGACAATAATGCAGGGTTGCAAGGAGGCACCCCGTCTCAGAGGAGAGGTCTGCAGAGAGAACGACAAAGGGAGAGAAAGAGAGTGTGTCCTGTTATAATTAAACATGCATGGGCACTTTTTTTTTTTTTCCACAGACGCTGTTTGTTCCGCTGGCCTGGGTTTTGACAGGACGCCAAAACAAGCCCAGGTGGAACAGGGTGTGCAAACAAGCTTGTGAGTACAGGCATGAAACACACAAATTAGCACCTAGACCAGATGAATATGCAAGTACTGGGATCAGGGCCAGCACGCCATCCTATGATCAGAGTACACAGCCAAGTCAGGTGAAAGTAAACAGGAAAACAAAGACAAGGCATGCAGTTCTGCAGGTAAATAGAGCACATTTTAGTCTTTGAGGCTGTTTTCCGCACACAAATATCTTCTCTTTCTCACACACTATTTTACTTACCAGCTTCATCAGAAAACAACTTTTAGGCTGGTTGTCTTTATTTTTTTTAATCCTCTGACAAGACCTTAAGAGTCAAATGTTAGGGGGCATTTTTTCAACATTTAACTGCTTCAGTTTGTTTGATGTAAAAGTTAACATGCTAGAGTTCTGTTTTTCTTTGCAGTTGAAAGATAGATCAGACTTGGTTTCTCCGCGTTGTGTTATGTGGTGTTAACATCATTACTAAAATGAGACAGGCATGGGGTGCATGTGATTGCTCTGCAGGAGATAGTTGTTTTCATGATTGAGTTAAAATTGACAGGCACTTAAAACCCCATTAGCAATAGTAAACATTTAAAAACTTTTATAGAAAACAGTTCTTTGTAAATTCTCAATAAGGTACATAACCATTATCAAAAAGCAGTAGTGAGAGGGAGGATGTGTATCACAGAAGTAAAATACATATCTTTGCACTCACTGTTTATTTGTGTATTTATTTGTTTGTTTGGAACCCCATTAGCTTCCACAAAATGGTCACTGTCAGGGTGATGGTTCTACTCTAGAGATGAAATTTTGAACCCCATGTGCAGGGGTTTTGGTTCCTGGGTTGCATTCTAGCGGCAACCTCTGACCTTTTGAAATGAGCCCAATGTAGTCATACTAAAATCTGCAGATCTTCAGGGTCCACTCCAGTCCAGCTCCAGAAGCCCCAACAAATCTTTCTGTCCATCCTTCTTCACAGTAAAGTTTAGCCCTTGCCTCATGTTTGGTTAACCAAACATAAGGGTGAGTCAGCGTTTCCAGTACGGCGACCATTGTCAGACTGAGTCCATATTTAATGCATTCTCTGGTCCGTAAGTTAGTCAGTTTTGTTGTAAGAAATGAGCAAGAGTGTAATTAATTGATCTGCAGATTAATCGATCCAGCCATTAGCATTCGATAATAATTTATAGTCTCATTTCAACATCAACATTGTTGCATACAAGGCCTTTATCCCCTTTTCTCCATCCTAAATGATAACATCTTTAATCTAAAACAGCCACTGGTTTATGTTTCACATTGATTCTGTTATGGCATATATAATAATTCTGTTTAATTGCCGCTCTGACAAATAAAACAACATTGTTGCATTACATTTACTGTAAGCTCAGTCATATTAACATTATCAGTTTGACATGATGTGAATATAGTAGGTCATATTTATTTCTTGTTTTGTTATTTTGTTATTTGAGACTTAACTTGGACTTGCTGCAGCACACAGACTTGAAACTTGACTTGCCCTTCAGAGACTTGATTTGGACTTGCAAAAAGAGACGTGTGCCTATCTCTGATTCAGACTAATATATATTTTTTGTACTAAGTTCTTAACATAAACTGTGCTGTGAAGAGGTTTTTTTTTTAATGGGTGTGTATATGGCTTCTGGTGCTTTTGCAGTCAGTTTCTAGTGGACGCTTGAGCAACTGCAGTCTTAGGCACTTGGTCTGGCTTTATCCATCAAGACTGGAGGTTGCTGCTTAGACTAGATTTGTTTGGACTCTGCTCATCTTGTCTTACTCAATTGGGAAATTTGATAAAACCACAGACTAGCTATACATTATCCCTTACTTACAGTTTATCAATGTGCAGAACCTCTTAAATTACTATGCCAAGGACTAATTTCTGCAGAGTTTGTTCCTAATTTATCAGAAGATGACTTAATGCTGTAAGTTAAAAAAGGAGAGATTTTGGCCTTTGATATTTCATTCAGCCCTCCATCCTGTTATACTAAGGTAATTGATGCAAGAGAGCCTGAAACATTGGTCAGCAGGCTGCAAACCATTTGTGAATACAGGCCTGCCAAGCCTGAAAGAAAAAAACAATAACAAGTGAGGATGTTCCGGGAAGACAACAGATGGATGTGAGAGTCTTGTGATGGATGGGACGGGGGCTGGAGGAGAGGTAGAGAGGTAAAAAATTAGGTTGGAAAAATTGATAGAATGGAAAGAGAAAGGAGACAGGGGAGGGAGCCGAGGAGACAGATCGAGAAAGAGTGAGTGGTCGGTACCGGGTCCCACAAGAGAAATTGTAAAGTAAAGCTGAATGAGTGAGCACAGGCAGTCCAGGGACATCTTGCAGGTTTTTCCAGGCCGGACACTTCAGAGTGCATGTCAGGTCCCCGGGCGCCCTGGAGCCAAGGCACTTCCTGACATAAGTAGCCTCCCAAAGATGAACAGCATCACCTCAGCTACAGTTAGAGGGTCGAGAAATTGCTCCCACTGCACATGGCCCTCCTTCGCCCTGCATATCATGTGACCTGAAGATGTTTCTCAGTCCACTCTGGCCTCTGAAAAAGACAGCTTTTACACTTCTTAACTCTTCCACTTGGTGGGACACGGAGACCGGTGCAGCACAGCAGACCTTTTTCCACATGAGTTTACCCATTAGGGCTGTTCTAAAATAAAGCCCTCTTAGTCACACATGAACTGAAGGTGAATTATGGATGGGGCCTTGGTGATGAAGTTGTGGGATATCTTAATGACACCCAACACGTCTCTCCTGGATTCCCAAGCTGCCGTAAATTAACTAGCTCTCATAATTAAACTGGGGAGAGAACAAGCTCAGTCATCAATAAGTCATCACTGGCAGCTTCAATTTACTAGCCTGCACTCACTGATTGTGTCGTCTAAAGTGATTCGGCACGCTCCTCGGGGTGGGTGTACACTGTTCCCTAAAGCCTCCTTTCAACACAGCACATACCTAATAATAAGCACTCAATGAATAACTTACATTAAAACACTGTTACTGTGGATTAACCATAATAGCGAGTGATAAAATAGTAATCCATCATGTTTACACGATAAAACTCTTTCTTTGCATAACCTGTGGCTACAAAAGCTGTCTCAGGCCATGTAATGACACTGTTGCCTCCCTCAATGCTCCATTAATGCTCTCAGGAGTTTCATCAACTTCAACAACTGGAGAGGAGGATTCTCTCCAAACACATGAGAACAAAGGGAAAACCTCGATTCTAGGTCCATTTATCCGCATTATAAAGCTGCATGCATGCTGCTGTCTTAAATAAGTTTGCAGTGTATACTTCAGCACCCCATCTAACATTCATGTCTCCTTTTTATGCTTTTATCACCTTGGATACGCCCGGCTCAGCCAACCGTGTACGCACTCCCTTATCTGCCAGTTCCAGGAACATCTAGTGGCCCCGCCAAAGTAAAACACATCCTGCACTTTCGTGTCCGTGACTCCGCTTTTTACCATTTAGTGACACACATATCAAGGTGGATTATATGTCTGATAGATAACAAATGTTGACCTGGGTGAAAGGTTTGTTTTTCCCCCCAAAGTGCAGCTTGCTGAATATAAAATCTTGTGAAATGTGCATCACATTAGAGCCAAAGTGTTCAAGAATTGCTAAAATTTTGATAACCTTTTGGGTTTCTTCATAAAAATGTGCAAGTTTTCTTATTAATATCATAAAAACATGCAGCTAATGCTAGTAATTCTTACAATAATTTCCTAAATGAGCTCAGTCCAATTCATGAAAATTCAACTCATTCAGTTTGGACAGTTAAAGCGTGTCCTGCGAGCGTGTGCATGAAAGGAAGCATACGACTGGAGGCCTGACTAACAGCGGCTGCAGAGTGTGAAGAGAGTGCAGTAGTCAGGATGATTGAACTTGGCTGTCTTCAGGGAGGGGGAAGTACATGTGCTAATCCTAATCAGGACCTGTTCCCTGCCATGTAATGGAGTAGGAACAACCCCGAGCTCCACGCTGGACACGCTGAGGCTACATTAGTGAATAATGTTTTCCAGTGTGGGACACCGTTTCTATTACGCTCCACATGCGGGAGGAAGAGGAAGCTGTCACTGTGAATTAAGCGCTGAGCTTGCCATGCAAACATATCTTGTGTAATTGGAGTAAAAAAGTGAGCGAGGGGAAGAGGGTAAAGGCTTTTTAAAATAACACTCAGCCTCCTCTACATCGCTAAGACGGTATGTTTGAGACATGATGAAGCTTTTAGCAAACTGTCAACCTTCAGGACAAAGGATTCTTACACTCCATCCTCCGGAGGCTGTTTTATTTACTCATTCTGCGGCGGTCTGTGGCTCGCCTCAAAAAGCTTCTGCTGGTATTTGTTCACTCTGAGCACTGCTGCAGTGTTTTTCACCCCCCCCCCCCCTCAAAAAAAAAAGAAAGAAGAAAAAACAGTCCAGTTTACCTGATTATATCGACAGCTCTACTGTAAAATCTCCTGGCATTAGAGGTCAGAGGGACTATGTTTTCTTATTGTCTCACTGAATCCACTTCCATCTAGCAGAGAGTAAATCTCAGAGTGGAATCACTTTTCTGACAATAATCTATAAATTATGCACTGCTTGTGTTTGAATTGAGAAAGGCTTTCATATCTCTTCCATTAACTCAGATTAAGATTTCATACTGATGCTGGGGAGAATGCTAGCAATATCCCCGTCTCATTTCGATGAAATTTTTATTAGTGCTTTTTTCTGTAGTACACTCCTATTGGGATGTCTGTGAATCTGAAGCTTGGCTTTGGACATGAACTCCCCTCAACCTGCCTGCCAGTGGCTCTGAAGGTTTCAATATTTTATGGGCTCGAGCTAACTCAGCCGTGAGATTCCAGCTGCAGAGATTTAACTCTAATGTAAAAATCCTGAACGGATGAAAACTGGGGTGTCATAAGTAATACATCTGTTCTGAGAGGGGCTGTAGTTATCATCCATGAAAAAAAAGAAAAACAACTAATAATAAAGAAGTGAGTAAAAGAACAGAGGAAAAAAGGCATTTAAGGATGAACACGCTCCTCGTTTCTTCTTCTTTGTGTATTCAAAATGAAAGACCTATCGCTTCAAGGCTAAAATATATCAACCCTAATCTCCCAGTCCTTCAATTGACTCCTAATTGTGTGCACTTTTTACTCCTTTTTGTGCAGCCATCAATAAAAGCAGTCCCCTCATGTCATGCTTCTAAAGAAATGGGCATCACGCCACTTACACTTTCTAGGCCAAATCCATTTCTTTGAGCATCTTGCCTTTTTCTTTCTCGCTCTCCTAACAGAATTCAAAGCATTTGGAAAATCTGTCTATTCAGCATTAGCGTCCCGGCGCATTCTCCCCCAGAACCAACTGAGGTCAGATGAGATGGGTCTGATGAACTTTCCCATTTCTCCCATCCCTGCAATCTATAGCTTTCTCCCTTGAGCCATATGTTGTCCAGTGTAGTCAAGACTGCTTGTAATGGCTCTGCTAACAATGCACTCTTTGTGCTGGATAAGGAAGGGAAAAAGCCTGACGCCGAGGGGCAAGAAGAAGGAGAAACACTTTTAGTGCCTGCTTATATATCTTTTTTTCATTCCATTATACAAGTGGACTCTGCTGGAAATATTTGTCTTGACAGTAGTTTAGCATCGCTCCCCACTCCACCGCCCTCACTGAAAGATTAAACTATTGAAATTGTCATAAGCGCAGATGCCACGCTCTTTTGTGCTGCAGAATCTGCTATGTCCTAAACTAACATTTCTTAACAAACTTCTTTGTTAGCTTTTTGCACAAATGCTAAAGGGTTATTTTATTCCAAGGGAAAGACGGACAGAAATTCATCTTCAGCAACTCTCAAAGGTGCCTACACCCAGTGGAGTGTAACTTCTATGGAGGCATACGCTTCCCTCACACTGTATTTATCGCTTCTTATTACCAATAATAACATTGCTCCTCTGGGAGCTCAAGGGTAAGTATGCCCCCTAGCACTCCAGCCTTTTTACAGACTCACTATACTGGACTGAACACAGTCCTTGCTCTTGCTTGCAACATATCAGCAGCTGAACACTCTCAGGAGGATTTTAAGAAAAACACGGATTTATCTCCAGAAAAGATCAACAGACATCACAGAGGAGCAGATGATATATAAAGGAATTCAAGAGGTATATGTGTTAAACATGCATTAGACTTTTACAATAAGACACAAACCTTTACAGTGACTGACTGACTGGATATGATAACAAGGCATTTGAACTGACAGGCTGATCACTGCAGCTTGTTATAAAAATCACAAGAGGATCTAGCCTCTACATGTCTGAACTTGAACTTAAACTCACCATGTTAATAGTATTATTTGGTAAAGTAGAATATTTCTATGGGTTTATAAACAGATACAGGTGTTTATGTATTTATATGTGTATAAGTGTGCATGTGATGGTAAATTTATGTGTGTGTGTGTGTGTGTGTGTGTGTGTGTGTGTGTGTGTGTGTGTGTGTGTGTGTGTGTGTGTGTGTGTGTGTGTGTGTGTGTGTGTGTGTGTGTGTGTACTGCATGTAGCATGTCAACGTTTCATACCTAGAATTTTACAAGGATAATGAGTAGATGGCCAGGCTGCAGCCTTTAATTCAACTTATTTTATACCACATTAGTTGTAGACATAGTTTGTTGATGTTTTTCTTCTTCGACTTTCATTTCTTCTTTGCTTGGATGCATATTGCCTAATTTGTGAAATAATTTCTTGTAACAGGGGGTAGACAATATAAGTTTGCTTCTTTCTGCCCCCTTTTATTCAAGAGTTACAGTGTTGTCTGTTTTTAATGAGTTTTGTTTTTGTTTTTATGCTTGATAAATGAATAAAATAAATAAACTAAACTAAACTAAATATTTGAATACAGGCATTTCTCCTTTCTTTTTTTTTTTTATCCCTCTCTGTGTTTATTAATGCTACACACTGGACGGAAGAGGGAGCAACAACAGCTGCTAAAGAGGACCAGCTAACACAGACACACATATTTGGATGTTTTTTTTTAAGTCTTCTTCCTTCTCGGCCACCGTATCTTTCAATATTATAACAATATAAACACAACGTTTGGGTCACAATAAACATGAAGTGAATACCTGATATTGTTACAGCCCCAATAGAAAACTGAGATTAAGCTCAAGGTTTTGGACAAGTTATTGAATAAAAAACTATTTTGACCTAGTGGTAGAGATGCAAGCCCCACTGCAGGTGTGACTCTTGACCTGAACCTTTGCTGCATGTCATTCCAAACTCTTTACTTCTGGACTTTCTGGACCCTCTTCAGGTGTCCTCTCAAAAAAAAAAGTCCCAAAAAAGTAACCAATAAGAAATGAAAGATTGGAATACAGTTTTTAGAAATGCTTATGCAAGTGAAGGCAAATTTTCATCTTGATGAGAGTCTGTGATATCTTCAACATCTACCAAAGCTCCATATTCTTCCAATAGTCGCACCCGAAACCTGACATTTATAGTTTATAGAGGTGGCATGACACTGTGCTTGCTTAGCTAGCATACTGCTAACGAACTCTGGGCTATTTCACTTATTTCAGTTGCTGATGTTGATTGTTGAGTAACTTTGGATGATAGAAGGAAAATAGTTATGTGGTTTACACAAATTGTGAATCTGAATATTAAAGTATGGTTATACACACTCAGATTGTGAAGTTTTTAGTCAGTTATGACACAGAATGAAATCACGTCTGACACCAACTGTGAGAGCAACTAAAGCAAACAAAACCATCATGACAGTATCCATTATTTCTTTAAAGTCATTATTGATGTCTAAAACCACCGCTGTTTTAGGTTGGTAAAAGTGGAAGCCAAAGATTCTTAGTTAGTGAGACATTCAACCATTAAAAGAAATCAGGAAAAGATTACTTATTTATTAAACTATTAAATGAGAAAGCTAATCACAAGAACTGCTCCTGCTCTTCACAATCATGTTTTAAATGTACTCAAATTTGACACAGGATACATCTACATGATGACACTTCACATACACCTTCTCATTTGAAATGAACACGTGTAAATGGCAGGTGTTATTGACACAGGGGTGACTGAGCGATGAATTTCACCTTAGTTGTGCTGATGAGTGTTGCTATCTGAAATGACAGGGCTGCTGCAACAGTTTGCTTTCCTGACATTTTGAAAATTCTGCTGCTAAAAATTACAACATCGCAGGGTTCATCAGTGAAAAATGTCAAAAAATATGATGTATATTCTCTAAGCCATTTGAGGGCCAATTTGTGAAGAAATGTCTCATTATTGAAAATCTTGCAATCCACAGCTCCCTTTAATTATCAGTCAGAGTATAAGCCTGTTCAGTCTGGTTTGGTGCTGTGTGATTAGAGTGACACTGACAAATATAAAAGCAGAGGAGAGTCAGAGGCCAAGCAAGTAAATGTCCAGGTCAGTGTGTAAACACGGCTGATTGTTTGGGACACCCTTGTTATCTAAAAGTCGTTTCTGTCATTAACACAGAAGGACACACATCTCCTCTGGGAGTAGACGGACAGCTCCAGGGTTAAAAGGCACATGCTGAACTATCAATAACTTCCACTAATTGTATGCTTTGTAATTAGAAGCATAATCAATTATGAGATCGTTTTTTTTTCTGCCAATAGAACAAGCTAACAATGAGGTGATGTCTGAATCTGCATACAGTAAAAAAATAAATAAGGCAGTGAAGTTGTCCATGCATGTGATGACAGAGAATAATATGTCTGTAAAAAGCATTAACATTTTTTAAAGGAGGCTGAATGTTCCTGTGAAAGAAAAACCTTGATCGTTTGACCTCTACATTGTTGAACTGCAACTGATGCGCTTAATCGTCAGCTGTCACTTCCTATCTTAATTAATCCTAATTGACTATTGATGCGACACAACTGTTAGGCTTTATAATTAGTATTGCAATTTAGACCGGATAATCTAACAGGGCAGTCCAATTACTCCAGAGGAAACAGAAAGCTGTGAGGCAATAATTATGAAACAGTCACTGCACACAATGAAAAAAAAAAAATCAAGAGCTTTTTCTTTTGAAAGAGAAATCCATGCATACATTAAACAATAAATGACAAAACAGAACCTCTGCTAATCTCATCAGCCATTCAATGTATGAGGGACAACTAATTGAATTGATTGCTGCTATCAATAGCAAACAAATCTGTTGAGTTGTCCATGCTCATATAATCTGACCTGATTCCTTCAGCTGTCACTCTCTGTGAGAACGCTGCCACACGATGCTTTGGCTAAATCTGTCAGGCTGGGGCATTTACATGTCTTTGTGTTGCCATGTTGATAGGGCAATTAATAAAATATATGTTAATAGGAGCTTAATTGTTTTACAACAGTGGTTTGACAAGGCTGAGAGAGAGGAGACTTGTCAGTGATCTGAAATGCGTGGCGACTCTCGGCAGTGTAGCCCTCAGCCTAACATATGGTCTCCTTTCCAGGCTCTAACTGTACCACATAATGGGAGCCTGCTGTTTATTTTTGAAACATTAGTGATGCCACTACTCCTTTTGTCTCCTTCAAGACAATAGCTGCTGTCTCTGCCTCGCAAGCAAGACACCCCCCCCCCCACACACACACACACACACACAGCCCCCCCTACACACACACACACACACACAACCAAGATGACATTTGAATAATAATAACAACAAATGCATCACTGAGAGCTGCTACATTTCTCAATTATACACATAAATATCCATGTTTATTTGCATAAACTTATGAGGGTTCATCTTTAAAGCATTTTTGTGCACTCATCTTTGTAAAATTTGAACTAGGAGTGGATTATGTTTCTTGATGCATAAAAGCTCTGCAAATAAGTCTGTAATTCTTCAAAACATATCCTTTTGTCTTTAAATTTACTCAATCTATTTCACAAATGTTACTCTAGAGAACTTTACCAACAAACCAAAGGCTTTGTTGATATAAAAAAATTTATGAATTGGTCATTAGATGTTAAAAAACTGTTCATTAAAAAAATAAAAAACACACATGGCCTTCTTTTTTAAATTTGCTTCCTGTATATTGTCACCTTTCAGTTATATTTTTTTCATGATGTGTGCTGCTAACCTCTATGCCAGGTCACCCTTGTGAAAGAGATCTTGATCGCAATGGATTTTTTCTAGTTCAGTAACATTTGTACAGAACTAATAGTTCTAAAGTGTGTTTTTGTTGATTAATGGAGCATCTTTTATCAGCCTTTTCCCATCACTGTTTATGTGGGCTGCTCTGTGTAGCAGAGCTGTGTGTTTCAGACAAGGCCGATGCCAAGTGATTCATACACAAATGACCTGAGGGAGGCAGCAGTGCAGCGAACAAATGTGAGCACAGCATCTCACACTCCTGAGTGTGCTTTAAAGGCCATTTACATAGTGAAATCTAATTACCCCAGCTCTATGAGAGACTATTTGATCTCAATCTTAACAGAGCAGAACATATTATTAAGAAAAAAAGGGGGCTTTTCTTAGATGAAGGTGGCTTACTGAACAGGCGAATAAGCTTGTACACAATTCAGCACTCCCTTTTTAATTATTTTCCAACATAGATGAAAAGAGGAGAACACTGATTTATTTGTGTCCTGGGAGACAATGTGGGCTTTTGAGCCACAGAACCCAAAATAGAGGAACTTGGTGGACAGTGGTGGGAGAACAAAATCGCCCTTTTTTTTTGTTGTTTTGGCTTCAAGGGAAATCAAAAGTTCCCAGAATGGTTCAACCTTATTTCTGAGAAAAATGCTGCTTTTAGCGTCAGGCATCAACATCATCATTATTACAGCAAAGCCACACGAGTTCTTCCACACAGGTCCCATAGGTGACGAATGTCGGCATTTCCTCACATTAATAATTACTTTTGTGTTTTGTGCAGGTTTTTAACTTAAACCGTATACAATAGATCATTTTAAATCCTAACATGCTACACATATTTACATATACTTTCTGCAGAACAAATTACAGCACTTTATGCCTTTTTCTTTTTTTTTTTAACAAAAGCTGAAAATGGTACATCTTTATGTCCTATTCAAATCCACTTTAGTAAGTTTGATTTGTGACCATGGTCATATTTTAGCAAGATAATGACTGTCAGACTATTTTTTCAGCAACAAAAACTCCAGTTTCTTAGCCCATCAATTTTACTTAGTAAAACCAAGCATACCACTGCTTTAATAATTTAAAAAAAGGCAATGGTAGTTTAGAAATGTACTCAAAATCTATGAATATTCTCAATGAAATGGGAGCTCAGTGTGATGTGTTGAGAGCTGTAAGTGTCAAAAGTGCTAATTTATCAAAACATACAGCATAGTTACACACATGCGCCACTTTCAGAGCAGAAGTTGCTTTTATTTTACGTTATTTAAAAGCATAATACACCATTCATAAATCCATGCTTTTCAGCTCTGTTATTAGAAAAAATAGAATGATAGGAAAATGTCATTTTTGCAGAAATTATCAAATGCCAGCTTGGACATTGTTACTTAGGGGTTCCCAAACCTTTCAGCCCATGTGAGGAGGTAAAATGAGTACTATCAGGTGCAAAAGTGGACAGTAAAACATAAAAACCACAGCAAGCTAAACAAGCATAATTTTTATTTATTTATTTTTATGCTAATTCAAAAAAGACTAGAAGCAAATCGTCATGTTTAGACTGTAGCAGTGATAAGACAATATTTAATGAATGAGTATTAAGTGAGTCTGTGAATCTCCGTGATTAAGACAAGTCTAACACTTGAGGCTTCATTTAAAGGGTCTGCAGAAAAAAAAACAGAGTGCACATGTAACTGTGATAGCTGTGCTGCCATTGATAGTTTTATCAGTCAGGGTCAAGTGGCAATAAAGGACAGTAGATAAGGGATGTGGAGTATTATTTGTATGGTATGACTTATAGTTTTGTTCATTTAAAACCAACACGTATTTGTGTGTATTTTAACAATTACTGATAAATTATGCCATTATCAATAGTTCAAAATCAAGTCTCTCCCGTATCAGTGTCTCATCACCCCCATTTTGGGAACCTTTGACTTAAACCACATTCGACCACTGATTTCATTTCTTTTGTCCAGTCCTGATTCTGAATGTTCAGTGTATGTATATACGTGTGATTGCTACACACATTTGACTACATGTATGTTTCTTCTCTCCTTTTGTTGTGTTCATACACTTCCTAGTCTCACAAATTTCTGCCTCCATAATCTACTGGATGTTTTTTTGCATTACTCTTGGATCGTCTAGTGCTTCTAACTTGCCTTTATTATGTATCCCAAAATTAGAGCGCTCCCAAAATCACCACAGGAAAAGGGCCCTTGCTCTTTCCATTTCTTTGTTCTTGCTCATACAAAAATCATACATAATTGTACTCTCCATGAAGATTTTTTAGCTTTGACCTTTAGAGTGCAGTAATATAGAAAATGATGAGGAGCAGATTTCCTGCTTCTCAGCCACATCTCTTTCCACATCTCCTCTTCTTTGAGGAATAGATTCTGTCTGCTGGGTATGTTGATACTATTAGTACCAGTGTTACCACTGTTACAAAATAGGCATACAGCAACACAGTGTTGTATTGTCTTATTTGAATATCACTCTTTTTAGGATCCAGATTCTTTTTTTTGGGGGGCTTAAGAACTGAAGCAAAATTGATAAAATATTTACAAAACCTTTAGTATTCGCCACTTTTGAGTAATGTTAGTGCCTTTCCTTGTAAAGTCATGTCAACTATAACACAACTAAAATATCGTCAGAAAAGGAAGTTTATCTAGGATTTAAAAATATATCTCAAAACAAACTCTAAAAGAGTAAAATCTTGCACTTTTTCTGTACAATGCAGTTTCCCTCAACAAAAACCTGCCTTTCTGCAGACCCAGCAGGGATCTACGTATAATAACATTTGTAGGAGCCTATGGATTTGCTGTGTAGAGAACTTGTTTGGTATATGTTGGCTGTTAGAGTAGTGCATTGTGGAGCCAGCATGTCTCCAGATCTAATGGCTTCACCAGGGAAAACAATCAGGATGACTTCAGTGTATCATCAGGGTGGTGGTAAGCTGCAGGAGAGAGCAGCGAGCTCTCTGCTATTCCCTTAAAGCAACGTGAAGTTCGCTCCTGCTCCAATAATCTGGGCTGGGATCTCAAAATCACGATAGGGAGCATTGTTGTTCCCTCGGTCTATCCACAGACCCAACATGTGGTGTGCTGCTCATTTCCGTAGCTGCCCTGTGGTTTCTTGTAGACTTTCTCAACCAGCCCATGAATGCAGGTTTCAAGAAGTGAGACTAGTGGGAGCCATTTCTCACCAAAAGCAAAAGTAAGCTTTTGCTTCAGAGAACATCCCCAGTGTCCATGTTAATCATGTTTTTTTTTTTTTTATTAATTTATTTTTTCCCATGTTTTTTTTTTTTTAGATCTTTGTTGGTCACATGAAGAAAACTGGAAATCAAATAATACTGAATCAATCAAGGAATCAAAGAACACTTAAAGTTTTGGCCAGTGGTGGGATAAAGTGTGAGAGGGCCATTTTTTTCTTAGAAAAACAAAAGTAGACTTAACACAGTACTCTAAATGTCTAAAATACAGAATCTCTAAAAGTACAAAATTATTTTTTTTCGCCCATTTTGTCGTGATAATGAGATAATTTCAGTGTTTTTCTTGAGATCTTAAATTATTTTTCTTATCTTGAGAAAGCAAAGTTTGCTTTCTCAAGATACTGGGAATTTTTTTCTTATCTCAAGACACGAAGCTCTCTTTGAAGATTATGAGTCAAATTACTGGCAACCTGGAAACTTTGTGCACAAGCAGCAAGAAACACAGTAACAAACTTACCTTGATAGTCTGTGCTGCTATGGTGTGGCACATGATGATCTGGTTAATAAAAGTGATGAGCCTTTTGCTCTGGTTTCTAGATTGCCAACAAATGATGTGTTAAAAGAAAATAGCTCAGTTTTCTTCAGATAATGACAAAAAAAAAAGTTCTAGAGAAAAAAACTAAAATTATCTTGTTATCGTGACAAAACAGGCAAACTGTTTCTCGGTTCATGTGGAAGAGGAATACTTTCTGGTTGTGGATTTATCAGTAACACAGAACAACCCCACAGTCTATCCCTGATCCATGTGGACCCCAACGAGATTTTTAACTGCTAACCCTGTCTGAAGGTAACAGCACAGCATAAAGGAACATAGTTTACTTTACTAAACACGAGTAAACCTGCAAAATACATGTGTTTGGGCTCTCTGCAGACACAACACAAACATGCGAATCAATTGTTTGTGTAAATTAAGAGTCATTCACAAGAATTAAGCAAGTAAATACGCAACATTTGTGTGTCCAGTTACAAGCGATTTAAGCGAATAGATGATTTAACTCATTATTGGTGTGAGCATGGCATAAAAATCACTGCAAAATAACTGAGGAACCCAAAATGTAGACTTCACTGAAAAAAGTTTCAAAATTAATCAAAAAGGCAAGGAATAACAAAAATCATACTGTACAAACTAACTAAAATTCCAACCCCAAAAAACTAAAAACACCAGAGGCAGGGGAAAACAGTGGGGCACTGGAAATGTACAAGACGTCAACGGGCAAGGACAGTGTAGACAATGAGCCAAAACAGAAAAAAAGGGGGAAAACCGGGAGTATATACGCACTGAGAAATGAGCAACAGGTGAGACAGACACAGCGCAGGTGAGACTCAAGTAATCAACAAAGGAGGGAAAACTAAAGAAGTAAAACTAGAATTGATACACAGAGACTACTGCAAAATAAAACAGGAAACATTGAAAACTGAACCAAAAAAATAAAAATAAAATTAAAAGAAATCAAACAAACATACGAACAGTGAAACATTAGAACAAATGGAATCAACACCGCAAAACAGGAAAGACAGGAAACAGAGACACTAGGAAATACACAGAAACTGAAACTAAATTAGAAAGTAGGGAAAAACTTAACTAACAAGAACCTATAATGACAAAAAGTTCCTTTGCATAGTTGCCTCCTGTGGAAACAATTAACTTACTGTGAGTTTGACATGCCTTTAATTGTCAGAAAACTCAGATATAATGCAGAAAAATGTATGAAGAGCAGATTCTTAGCTCCAGTCTTAAGAAATAAAGCTGATGTGCAAGTGCCAAAACCTGCAGTTCTCTGAGTATCCACTTGAGGCTGGCTGCAAAAGCACAGGAAACCACATATACTCTGAGCTCACAAGACTGTTTTGGGAGCAAAAAGAAACACTTTTCCACCCTGGTTCAGAGAAAGGCTTTGATCTGATGAGCTCAGGGCTCCCACAGTATGAGGAGCGAATATTGTGATGCATTCTTTTACAAGTTATTTTGGATAAAAAATCAGAAAACCAACCATGGTTAATTTGACTGACAGGGAAGCACACTACAGCCAATTGTGAGGAGGCGTAAGGCCCACCTCTGGTAGGTTGATCGAATGCTTGGTTAAGACAGTTTTACCAGTGTGGCAACCCTTAGAGACTGGCTTCAAAATTCTGCTTCAGAAACAGATGCGTGATGTTACCAACTGTGCGTCCAGTAATTATACATCTATTGTTGTCTTGTTTAAACCATAGACTATATGGACAACTTGGCTCTGCGTTCCGTCATCATATGAATTTGAACAGAATTGCTTTTGTTATTTTGGGGATTTTCTCTAATTACAGGAGCTACCACTGTCGCAGTAGTGTTATACGCATTTCTCCACTTGCGCAGTAGCATTGTATGCATTCGGCGGGAGAGTCGCTGTGATGACGCTCGGCCAAAACAGTGCATCCCCCGGGTGAGCTATGTAAACTTTGTCCGCCCATAGGCTGTATCAAGTGTCAATCATAGAAAACATGAACCCCCTAATAACTTTTAAAAATGAAGCAGTACAGAAAAAGGAGCTGCACACAAACCAGTCTTACAATAACTACACGTCAACATCACAACCCGTGGGGAGAAAAATGTATATTCTGTGTAATTAATTTCTAAAATTTGTCCACAGCTCCATAGGGATTGCTGGAGGAGGCGGGATTTATGACCTGTACTGCAGCCCGTCACCAGAGGATGCTGTTCCCGCGGTGGCTTCACCCAGCAAGAAGGCAGATGGCGTCTATTCTATATACAGTCTATGGTTTGAACAAGCCAACACTTTGAAACACTACATAACTATTGTTTGAAAATGACAGGAATCAATATGTGAGCCCTGGTAATGATCACTTACTTTTATACTGAAGGGTGAATAACATTAATATATTAGTTGAAAAAATATATTATCTGTTCACATATTTACTGTTTGGTTATTTAATCTTCATCAATACATTGGATTTCTGTCAGATCTCTCTACTGGACTTGAGAAAAAGAATAAATTAGCATGAAATAAAAACACTGTTAACTTATCTGAAGCCCTGACCAATACCATTTCTATATGTTCTCACCTCTGTCACCTTTTTCCTTTTTCTTTAATGACCCTTTCAGATCATATAATGAGGATTTACAACATACTTACAGAAAATTAAAGCTTTCAAGTTAGCACAATTTAAAACACTGAAGGAGATCTTAGTGTTAATCATTTTATATGCACAACCTGGGGCCTGCTTTGACCTATGAACTGAAGCTTACAGGGGTGCAGGCTTGTTCTTGCCTGGACATTGGTTGTTATGGTTTTTTTCTTCTTTAAACCAAGCAGCAGAAAATCCAATTATTAGCAACAACCCAATTACTTTCCCCTCAGACTCAGCGGCTCAAATCCAAGGCTGGATTTGTGGATTAGCAAGGTTTACTGATAGACTCCTAAAAAGGGAAGCAACAATGTCGAATTTCCTGGCCGCCTGCGCTCTTCCGGGATTTGAAGTCAGAGGGTGACATGATCATTGAGAGGTGGGATAATGACAGAGGGAGAGAGGGAGGAAGCAAAGGGAAGAGGAGGGAGGAGAGGAGCAGTCTCTGGACAGTAGATCACAGTTAACTGAGGTCAAAAGTGCAAGTAGGACCTGTCAATGGAGACCTAGCCACTGATAAAGTCATATTGACTTTACAGGCATACTTAATGCTGTGAGTTACTTGACACCGAAAGCACTGCAGCATTTGTAAGTCAATTAGAGGGGGGTGTGGATGAAACACACGGTGTTGCTGTCACTCTGACCTTAGGAGGATAAAACCGGACAATGACCTCTGACCTCACCCGTCCTCTGACTTCTAACACCTGCAGAGGCTCCCCTGCAGACGCATGGTTGTAAAAGCTCGGACTCATTGCTTCTATTGATCATAGCAAACACTGATTCATAATTAAATGGAATATTTAAACAAAGATGAAGCCGGTGTCAAACAGTGACTAGGACGGCGCTCCTCACAAGGTTATGAAACTACCATTAAGTGGCTTTTTTAAAATGCCAGACGACGTACTTCTACTTCCGTCAAAGTGGGTCAAAATGTAGCAGGGAATGAATTACTCATTAAATGAAACACTTCAATCTCTCTAATAAGGAGATCCATGAATGATATGTGCCACCTGCTAAATTCGCAAATATCCCCTCTAAAAGCTTTGTAAGCTTCATCAAACTAATCGGAGTGGACAGGCACCAAATAGAATCTATTCTGAATTCTCCATTTGCGACTGAGCGGAGCAGGTGAAGTCTTTTGGCAATAATTGACTGGAAGGTATGCCGTTCTCTATTAATGTGCACGGATTAGATTTAACACCCACCTTATATCATTCGGCAGGGATTCATATTGCGCTAAAGCCCACAGTAACCTGAGGTATCTCTTTCATTATTGCCTAATTAACCCGCTAATAGCCATGTCCTCACTGCTTCTACTCTTTAATTATCCGGCGGCCTGCTCTGAGATTACAACTGTGTCAGTCAGCCCTGTCCCGTCACATCTTTTATGAGATCAATTTCTGTTGGCTTTATTCTCAAAGACACTGTTTAATTAACAGCCATTTCCATCTTTGAAGAACATACTATTCACATTCACCATAATACGTCCTACATCTCATACCTGAGACAGTTACATGGGGAAGGTCACACAGGTTGAAGACAGAAGGCGGCGGCTTTGGTTTGTAACCACTAGATGTCCTTTGCAGTAAAGTGAGTAAGAGTGACTGAGCTGAGCCGAGCTGCTCCACTGGAGAGAAGCCAAAATGGCAAGAGTCATACCACTTCATCCTAGGTTAGTCATTCAGATGAGACGCTGTCATTAATTGTAATAACAACTGAGTGTCAAGTCTCTGATTCACAGCCAACGCATCAGGCAAACATTCCTGTCCTCTCAGCAGTCTCATTTTGGCGTGACTGCATTTTACTTTACTTTTTAGCCCCTAGAACTCCTCAGCAGATACCTAGCAGACATTAAAGGTTTTTATAGGGTATATAAGAGAGATTCATAGTTGTATAAACGGTTAATAAATCTTTCGGATGACAATGCCTTTGAGATTTATCAAATCATGTTAAGCATTGTTTTAAAGCTCCTGAGAGGAGTTTTTATGATATCTGTTAAACAGACAGACATTTATCTCCATGCCTTTAATGATATCAGAGAGCAAAAAACAGCATCAGAGATCACAGTGACTGTTTCTGGACAGTTATTTTTAATGCCTGAAACCAGTGTGTGTGTGTGTGATTAGTCGGAATAGTGCAATTTTTTTTGGTCAGAAGACACATCTTGAGCATGTAGAGCGCAAGGTGGGAGGGGGCAAAAAGTGCCTCAAAGGAGCTTTTATTTACAGATTTTCTGCATACCTTGGCCAGAAATTCCACTTTAGAATTTTAGATTTCATAACAATATGCCATATTTTTCAAATTCCAGTGCAGAATAAATGCCTTTTTTGCTATTTCCACCCCCCCTCCTCCATCTGTGAATGCCTAAAGGATATCAAATCCTGATTCTCTCATCTTCCTAAAACTCAACAGTGATAAAACTGAAGTTCTTCTTATTGGCACCAAATGCACTTTGAACAAATCTAACAGTTTTTCCCCTTACAATTGATCGTTCCACAGTTTCTCCCTCCCCTCAGGTGAAGGGTCATCCTCGACAGCACACGATCTTTCCAGCCTCACATCAATAATGTTACCAGGTCTGCATACCTTCTTCTGAGTAATATTAATTGCCTTTATTCATCCCTCACTCCAAACTCTGCTGCTATTTATTTCACTCACTGCCACTTCCTGGATTGACTATTGCAACTCCCTCCTCTTTGGTCTTCCCAAGAAATCTCTTCACAAACTTCAGTTAGTCATTTTCACAGCCCCATCCAGCGATCGCATCACTCTGATTCTTCAGCAGCTACAATGGCAGAAAAAACACAAACAAAAAAAATGATCTTGTGCTGCACAATAACGTGAGATGTTTCAGCAAACGCAGGGTGCTCGTGCAGTTTTGATCCATCAGAAGGAAGGTAACAGAAGGGCCGAAAAGTCAAAATGCAACACAGTTTTCTGTCTTTTCAAAAATATGAGAAAAAGGTGGATAATGTGGCATTTTCGGTTGATATCATCACACATCTCACTAAACTGGATATAAAGC